TTATTTCATTCTTGCAGTGCCCTCCTTAAGCTGCAAAACAGGAAGAGAAAGCAAAAGTAGGCCTTGCACCCAAATGTTTACTGTTTATTCTTCTTTCTTTGGGATAGAGGAGAAAAATCCATCCTCAACAGAAAAAGAATGTTATGGCTTTACACAGTTAACACCTTTGGGGAAGGAGAATTAATTAGGAAGGAGTTGGAGCCCTCTGCCTGACAGATTCGTGACCCATGAAGCTAATCAGTTCTGTAGCCTGTCACTGCCTTTTGCCTTGGACTGGCCAATCTCATGAGCTCAGCACTGACTCTCATGCTGGGGAAGGAGATATTTGCAACATGTCAAATTTTCACTGTTTTGCCAGCGTCGAACAAAAAGTAATGATAGTTTATTTCTGCACCTGGAAAGTTACTATTGCACCTAGCACTGTTTGTAAAAGCTCAGCAGATTTCTGGAGAAATAAAGGAGGCATTGAACTAGCCTTTAGATTTACAGATTTAGCTGCTGTAAATTGTCCGTGGTTACTAAATCAGAGCAGCATTAAGGTACTAAAAGGTAACCTTGTACGTGAGAGTAATCTGAGCCTTTGGTTTAACTGGATTCAAAATACACATTGAGCTGATGTTCAAAAGTAGTATTTGCCAGCACTAAGGAACAAGAGATCCATTATATTTTAATATTAATATTTGTCTTTTCATTGGTCGTGTATTTGTGGGCGCCCCGTTCCCCCTCTGTGGCTTTAAAACATGAATGCAAACCATCCTGCAGCTCTCAGGGTATGGAGCAGTTTGAGGCTTTTTTTATGCCAGAACTGCAGAGGAGATTTCTGCATGCCCAATCAAGTTTGTGAAGGAGAGAAACCCACAATCATTTCCATCCCAGTGGTTCATTGGAAAAACATGTCTTGTATTAAATACTTTAAAGATTCATGAAGCAGCTTTAATTTTGTTTGCATTTCTTCCTGAAGGGTAAAGCTGTCAGAAATCTCTAAATGTATTGCCTAATCCATTTCTAAACTCAGTACATTAAGATCTGCAAGCAGAACTCATTTTTGGTGTTAGCAAGTATACACAGACGAGAGAAAGCCAGAAAAAGAGAGTAGGAATTCCTTGCCTTGGAAATCCACTGAACTACCAGCATAGCAGTAGTGTCAGCTGCTCAAAAAAATAGTGCAACTCAATTGGACTGTAAGAGCAGCATGAAGAGAGGGCACGTATTTCTGCTGGATCCGATACGAATAGAGAAAATACAGCAGCTGGGCAATGGAGGCTCAGACAAAAGAAAATATCTTTCTCTTTTCTGCCCACAGGCTCACAGGCTACCATGAGCAGGCTACTGTTCAGCTGAACAGCTTTTGTTTTCTCATTGTCTCTGTTTCTAATCTGTGACCCTTTTTGTGTTAGTACATGATTTATGTCCAAGGCTCCATTTCCAAGCTGAAGATCCTTTCCTCTTTTCTTGTGCCTGCACAGACAGTGCTCACATTTGGGCTCGGGGGGCTGGCTTGGAAATGTTCATTTAAGGAACTGGTTCAATGCAAGGGAAGGAATGAGTGAAAACCATCTCCAGGGTAGAGAGAAATGATCTGACATCAAGCTCTCTATCATGTGCAAAGGAAATACCTCTGGGTTTCCAGCCAGGCTCTGCAGTAGTCAATGCAGAGCAAGAACTCTCAAAGGCTCTTCCCAAGACAACAGCAGCATGCCTTAGGTCTGATGCTTAGCGTGTTGTATGAAAGATGCCTGAAGGGCTGTTTCACTTATCAGATCTAATCCATCCTCAGCTGATCCGTGGAAGTGATTAGCCATGGCATCATCAGCCTTTGTTTGGAACCACCGGTCCTAGATGCATCCAGTGGTGTGTTTCTCTGCAGTGTGCTCGTCTGCCCTGGAGAGACAGTACTGCTTGTGTGAGCTCACATCCTTTGCTGATGTGCACTGAGACGGCTTACAACCGCAATTCAACATCATGAGAACATTAAACATGATCCGTGCCTGGCCAGCTTAGACCTTTGCTAACTGATATGTAGGTCAAACTTATGCTGTCTGTTCTCTCCCAGATCAGTTAGTGCTGGTTAATTTGTTTTCAATACTGTAATTGTCCTCCTTCATCCGATAGCCACAGTTCCTAACGTGATCAGACCGAGTATAGAGAAACAGAGGGCATTGCAGCACCCTGCTCCTTTCCTGGCCAAGAAATGGGCAATTTCTTCAGTTCTGATGCTTTCCCTCCATCTCCGGGCTGCTACTCCAACCACTTTTTGGAAGGATGTCCTTTGCTGTTATAAGTAAGTGGGCTGGTTATGGCCTTATCTTTTTTCCAGGGACATCTCTGCCATGCTCTGGGGCCAAAATCAAGGGCTGCACCAAGGAGGACTTCAGTATCTTCCTGACACTGACAAAGGATTCGGTTCTCCATGTAGAGCTCTTGGTCTGTTGTTGGTCTGCAAGGCTGTCAAGGGGCTGTAAGGATACAGTGGGCATGGCTGTGCTTTGATGGTGGAGCATCTTTGATTGTGACTTGCTAATGTCTTGGCTCAGAGTGTCAATTGCTGGTTAGAGTTTCTTGAAATGAAGGAAGTATTAACTGTAAATTGCTGCAGCTTCTATCTAATTACCGAATACGTTGGGAAGGGCTTGGGCAGCAGTCCAACAAAGCACTTAGGCACCCTCTGATTTTTAAGAAAAGGTCCCTGGTCTGGGATTGCTGGTGCTCTCAGACATCATGAGCAGTGTTTGCTAGTAGACCACTGCCTTCTCCTGACTACCTCAGCACATCCATCTCATTTTCTGAAGTGACTTAAGGAGCTGGGAGTTCAAGGTTGACTGGAAATCTTTAGGAAATGAACTCCTAAATCACTGCTGTAGTTTGAGAAGTTTGCTCAGGCAGACAGCTTCTTTTGCAGCTCTTCATCTTGTAATAAGTAAAATGATAGCAGCATTTAAACCACCGTTGAGTTCTGAGGTTTGCCTTGGCCCATCTAGATGTTCCTGCTGTAGTTGTCTTTGAAATATTCAAATGTGCAATGGTTGGAGCATTTTCCAAATAGAAACATAATGGAGTTTTTGGTTATGTCCTGCTAACAGAAAAAGGGGAGAACAGATGGAAGGGAGACAGCAGTGAGAAATGATAGAAATTATTTAGCCTTGGAGGGATAAATTCAAAACAGCCCTTTATAAAAGCATCCAGTGTGTCTGGGTGTTCCACACCAGGTATTCCAGTATACTTAGTAGAAAAAGAAGTACTTCTTATCCCAGAAAGGCTCAGCCAAATTTCTTGATCAGAAGTCAAATGAAGCCCAGCATAAATCACTGAGGCCTTGGGCTGTTCTCCCATGTGGCTCCAACTTTTCCTAGACAAAATACTTTGGTCCATCTACCCATGCCTCTCTGCCCCTGATACTGTGTTCATTTTGCCTTGAATTGCTTGTCTCTCTCTCCACTACAAATGCTGCTTTGGCAGCCCCCGTTCTCACTTGCACTTTCTCTTCTCCTTGCCCTCTGCAGCTCTCAACATGATTCCTTCACTTTCCCTCTTCCCTTTTGGCTCTGGGTTCCCATGCAGGACTGCCCTCTGCCTCGCTCTACTGGCAGCACACCCAGCCCTTGGGTACCAGCCTGATTTACTGGGATGCAATTTGCTGTGTCCTGCTGATATAAAGTGAGGCTCTGAAGCAAATTGCTGTCAGATCAAAGCTGTCCCTCGTCAGGGGAAATCTTGCAAGATCCCTGCTTTTAGCTGATGGCTCTTTCGTGTCTCTGAAGTATTCGTAATGGACTTCTTTGGTACGTTGGTGTGGTCAAGAGGAAAATCATGCTCAAGGAGAAATTCCAAAAGGAGGCTGTGTCAGAGTGTTCACACCTCCTGTAAATCTTTGTCCTTCTTCCAGGTGCATGTTTAGATGGTGTGAGAATGCAGCTTAGCCTGAAGCTCTACACAGAGGTCCTCTCAGTGGTACAGGCCTTCAAGCGAGCTGTCAGTTAGCAGCTGTGGTAGCCATGGAATCAAAGGCAAGTCATCAGCTCTCTGTGCAAATAGTGCAGGAATGGGTAGGGATTATAAATAATTGCACTTTACTAGAATTCATGACAGATTTCCAAAGGTGATCCAGCAGTCAAGTGGCTGCCGCTCTCTCCACCCCCGTGACTGCAGGTAGTGAATAGAAAGAGCCATCATTATGCCAAAGTAATAAGCAAGAGGTCAGAAAGTTTGACAAGAGAAGGAAAAGTCATTTCCTGTGATGCAATTAGCAGTATTTTAGAGAGCAGGTTCAGAAATCACTATGGTAATTCAGAATGGCTTTTGACTGTGACAACATGTAGGCAATTTTTTTATAGTTGGCCTCTGTGCTAGAGGGAGAGAATTCTCCTAAAACGTGGCAGTATGGTGTTGCAGGGTACATGGACTGCTATCTATGATAACATGCATAAGTGGGGATAGCTGCATACTGAGGTGGAGCAAATTCATTTTGCAAATACTTCAGTAGGAGCTTGCGTGTTCAACAAACAGCGTGCATTGGTTCCTGCTGCACAAGCTGCAGAATCAGAAAGTGATGCATGTGCTCTGTTTGGGCACGGTTCACTTTAGAAGGTCCTAGTTTTAAAAGTATGAATTCTAGTTACAGATTAACAGCAGGCTTTCTTATGGGTGCCCTTGGAGCACAAGCAAGCTCTGGGGTTGTGGGCTTTCTCCAGGATATTTATGAGCAAAACCTCTGATACTCTTTTGTTTTTCAAGAGATGTTTTTCACACCCCAGAGACTGAGATCCATTAAAAAAGTATGACATACAGATAAGCTTTGCTTTTCACCTGGTTGATAAGAAGTTAGCTGCTCCTAGCCATGTTGCTTCTTTTCAGTTTTTACCCCATCTTCATTTGATGTCAGAAGTAAGGAAGCCTGTAAACCCCTATTTGCTGGAAAGCAATGAAAGATGAGAGGACATTCTGCGGTGTATTTCACCTCCCATTGGCTGCTTGGGTTTTAATTGTTTTTTTCTTCTTTTCAGGTGCAAGCAGATGACCTACACAGATGACCTGCCCCAGATCTCTGTGGTCTTTATATTTGTTAATGAGGCACTGTCTGTCATCCTGCGCTCTGTGCACAGTGTTGTGAATCACACCCCCTCACATCTGCTCAAGGAGATCATTCTGGTGGATGACAACAGTGACAATGGTGAATGCACATAAGCTTTCCTCTCAGTTCTGTATCTCGTGTCATTTGTGAGCATGAAATACAAATCAAAAAGAGTTTTGTCACTTCTGCATGATACATTATTATTATTTTTAGCTTTGGATGAAGCAGCGTTGAGATGGCGTGTATTTAAACAGCTCAAGGAGCTGAACAGCCACTGATGAATGCTCACAACCACTGATTAATGGCTATTAAGGCAGACCGTACGTTGGTGTGAGTTAACATACCTCCCTGAAGTCAGAATTTCCAAGAGTTTGTGTTTGATGAGGAGATGATTCACTGAGCCACTTGCACAAAGCTGTCAGTAAATATTAACTATTTATATAAGAAATAAATACTCTGTGAATAAGCCCTGTTGACTTTGTTGGAATCCTCACAGAATTAATGACATTTGTACAAGTAATCTCTATACAGAGACAAAACTTTTGTCCAAATTTGGAGAGCCAGAGCAATATCAATATCAGTAGACCAAAAATTGAAGTTCTGTTTCCAGAGGAATGTGAAATTACAGGTTCTCTTTGAAAATGGTTTATTTTACATGGAAGCACACTTTGCTGCTTCACAATTTACACATGAATTGACACAAGTTATGAAATCTGATTTCTTTCTTTTCATTTTGGTAGGAAAAAAATTAGACTTTGCAAATGCAATGCAAATGCAAAATGACTGTTGGGTCATGTAATTCCTTAATGTAAAAATAGCACTTCAGTTAGAGCCATCAAAACTCAGACTCTTGGTGAGCACGTAGGGTGCTACTGATCAATATATTTTATAGGATGGTTGGAATTGCCTTTAGGATACAGATAACTAGCAATATTGTTGTGCTTTAAATTGTTAAAAATGAATCTTCTAAAAGTGTTGCAGCTTCTAAATCCTATTTATTTTTTTTAAGGCTCAAGTTGGGCATTTCTGCCGCTACTCAAGAACTTTAAATCTTTCAGTTTTTAGATGCTGTTCTTCAAGACGCCCAGACAGAAAGGATGCTGAAAAGAACAAATCACTAAAACAAAAATAAACCCCAGAATAGGGAGTTTTAAGAAACCTTTTGTCCAATTCTGCTTTCAGTTACTGTGCTGTAACCTATGGAGTAATTACGTGAGATTACAAAGTGTTTCAGTCAGCATAATGCAGAAGAGAATTGGATTCATTGTTTCTCAGTGAACTCTTATATGGCTTTTCTCTGTCATTCTTCTAGATAACTGGAGATTTATCAGGTCTTTTATTTGGATGGTAATGATTCTACTGTGTAACATAGATCAGAAGAATGAGGCTCCTGATATCGTGGAAGCTTCCTAAGTTTTCCTAATAAATATATTTGAGTAAAAGCTTCATTATGAGTAAGCTGTAGTGTAAATGAATTACCAAGCTAGATTGATTTTTAAAAAATACAGTGACCATTTTAGTAATTTGCCTGTTTGTAAGCCTACTGAAATGAAGGAGTGAACAAGTTCAGCTCTATCTGTGGTTGAAGCCTGAAAATGAAAAAAAGAAAAGCCTATTTTAAATCTTCAAGATCCATTTAGCTTAACAGAGAAGAAGCCTGGTATCACATAATATTAGTCGTATCTAAGGGAGAACTTAGAGTGAAGGGAAATTAATTCTGATCTGAATTAGATCTTGACCCAAAATCCATTGAGGTTATTTTTCTAATTCAGTAAGGAAAAGTGTAAATCAGACGCTCCAAAAACACCAATAACTCCCGTGTTACTCTGCTCCAAGTTCAGAATTATTCCATCAGGGGCCACTTGCAACCTAATGCAAATCATCAGAGAATTGAAACTGTAATTATTTTAAGATATTTAGACAAACCAGCTCTTCAAAACAATGCACAGATCCTTCATGCCGTATTCTGTCTTTGCAAGGCTAACAGCATATGCTCTGATGTGCAGTGCTTTTTTCTGAGCTGCTATCTCAGGAATTGCTCTGTCCCGTGGCTGTGGTTCTTCCTTTGTATCGGTGAAAGTGACCAAGGATCTGTTGCAGAATAAATCAAAGTAAAGCACAGCATTGCAAGACTGTTGCAGTGATTTCATTCTGAATGTTTGTGGGTTCTTATTATTATTATTATTTTTTTTCCCCCTGTAGTTGAGCTCAAATTTAACCTGGACCAGTATGTCAATAAAAGATACCCAGGTCTGGTGAAAATAGTGCGCAATAACAAACGAGAGGGACTGATTCGAGCCAGAATCCAAGGCTGGAAAGCTGCAACCTCTCCTGTTGTTGGGTTTTTTGATGCTCACGTGGAATTCAACATTGGCTGGTAAGTCCTTGGCTGTTTCCACAGGGAGTGGGGAATACCGTGCTCTTACAGTTTGCCCTGTGTCTCACAGGCTGTGAAAAAGATTCACTCAACAGGGCAGCTGAAGAACTGTATGATGAGACAACTATAAGCTTGTGTTTTCACATTAGCAATTATATTTGAATAATATCTGTGATTATTGCAATATTGCCAACAGTCTTCTGCATTGGTTGCAAGATTCATAGGAAAAGCATTTGTCCCTGCTCTACTACAGCTTAGCAGAGAGAGAAGTAATTTAAACTGAAAGGAATGCAAAGCCTCTGAAGCAGGCAGACGTGGACATTCCATTAGGGAGGCTCTCTGCTCATGGCAGATGCATGTTTTCAACTACTTTTATTTAACCTGCTTGACCTTTTCTTTCTTTCCTTCTTACAAACTTGAATATAAATCTGACTTGCTTGTAAATTTTCTTACATTTACATTTGGAAGGAAATATTCCCTGTATTTTTAATGGGACTTGAAATCAGTGTGCCTTTGCTCATCCTCTCCGTTTTGGAAAGGAAGGGTGTTAGCTGTGGTTAGCACCAGTACGATCTTAATGGACCAGATCTTCACAGCACCACTTAGCGGCCAATATTTGGCACTGTTAGAACCTGAACTTTCAGTCAGCTGAAAAAGGGCTGGTGGGACCTTCAGTATGTAAAATGTGTATTTTCCAAAGAGAGTCTGGTATTTCATAATGATGATGGAAGGTTATGGTGGAGCTGATTATACTCTGCAGTTCTGAGAGAGAGATCCCCAAATTATAACTAAAATTAGCTGTACTTGCAACCAGAGAGCAACTTAATTGCAAAGGAGTGGAGCATTTATTTTTGTATGCTCATGAATGGAAGATGCAATAAAGTGCACCTGGTTTCTATTCACCCTGTTTTTTGCCCCATCAGAGACTTTAATAACAGAGTTATTTTTTAGAAGCTTAAGATGTTAATTTGTTTATTTACTTTTAGGGCAGGTGGATCTTTGAAGAAGTTTATGTAAAGTAATATCAGCTACTGGGCAGAACTGGAGGCTGCAGCCTGGTGCTGGGGAGAGCAAGCTCCTGGTGCTTAGTCAGTCATGAGCTGCAGGTTCTGAGACTTGCAAGGAATTTTGTTACCTATTTTGTAAAGGACATTGGTATCTTATTGATGTATTCTACCTAGAGGAACTAGGCAGTGGTGTCAGGAAGCACAAAAAGGTTTTGTGGCTGCGTCTGGCTGTGTTCGTTGATTTTTTTTTTAATGCTTACTTTGCATTAATGTCAGAAGGAGTTGAAATCAGCACAGCAAGTTCGTGGACTACTCAGTAAATGAGTGTGTGTATATCCAAGATAAAAAGTGTTTGTGTATACCTCATTCTCCCTGGTGTACTCTCCTTTCAACAAGTCTCAATAATACTGTTGAGCCAGTCTGTGCAGCTGCTTTGAGACCACTTGGCTTCTGGAGTAGCTGCAGAAGATGGATGAGAATAGCAAATGCATACAGAAATGTAATATATCCACTTGTTTGAGTTGCACATGGAGGCTCAGTGTTGTTCCTTTCTGGTATTTCCTCTGTTCTCTGGTGCTGGTGACAGCCATCTCAGTCCTCATCCTGTCTGTCTCCCCATAGTTTAAGTTCTCCCCATCATGCATTGTGTGTTTGCCTGTCATTCCAGTTTTCATCTCATCTCCTTTTATTAGGAGGGACTGGAAGGTTTCCTATGTGGATTGCTTTATTTTTTCCCACCAGGTTACCAGTACCCCCACTCAAGATCTCTACCAACTTGGTAGTCAGGAGGGAATGGCTTGTTAAAGCACTGGTGTCCCATTCTCCTGCTAAGTCTTATCCTGTGTGAATATTTTCCCCTTTTTACTGAGTGTATTCATGTGTTCAGTGGCCAAACGGATTATTCCCACTCAGAACTGCCTATGGATTATTTGTGAGGCAATTAAAAACCAGCCAATTCCTTTACCACAGAAAAGAGCATTAACTTTCTGTTTGGTTTGTGTTCCATCTAACAGTCAGTTACCTGCAGTGTAATTTTAGCCTTCCGTTCTGTGGCTGCTTTACCTGCCTAATCAGCTGGCAGATAAATTCAAAGGGAATCAGAAAAGGACTTCATCAGTTTCTCATGAAATATGCAGAACTCTGGCAGTAAAAAAACCTACATCTTTTCTTTAAGCAATAGTCATCCCATTGTGAGTGAGCTCTTGCCTAGGATCACGCAATAGCACTCAAAGGCTGCTCTCACAGCATAACTCTCTAGGGACATTTCTTCTAAACTGAAATACAATATGGTAAGATATTTAAAAAATACTCCACAACCTGGCAGGTCAAATTAACTGTTGAATTATTTATCTTACTGTGCTTAATTGCCGCTTTTCTGCTTCTCAGGTGTTAAAATGTGTTAGCACAGAGCAAAGAGTTTCTACTGACCCGTTCCCCTTAAGGCTTTTGGCAGTGAGAGCAAATGCTGCTGCTGTGAAAGCAGGAGTGGAGAGGAATGGAAGCATGGGAGGAGGCCAGTGTGTAACAGTTTACTGGAAAGGCAGACACTTCAGTTTTCACAAAAACCAACTCCCAGGAAAGTTGCACATTCATGCCTGAAGAGATATTTAAGCTTGTACTGTTTGATTTTCCCTTCATTCCACTGCAGATTTGAGCACTCCTGCTCTGACTTTTGTGTCCACCTGCTGTGCATGAAGCGCCACACAAGTAACATTGAGCACAGACAATTGCATCCTGGCTGCTAATTATACTGCAGAAGACGTAGAACATTATACAGACTCCTGTCTTTGAGAGATGGGAAGGAATAATATGACAAGGAGAAAAGAACTTCACTGCGTTATATGTGGGAGCAGGAAAGAAGAGAGAGAAGAAATGGGGTGTTAATTCTGTCGATGAGAAAAGGGGCATATTGAGTGAAGGAGGGCAGAAGTCAGTAAGAGAAAGGCAGAGACCACAATATATTAGCAGCCATAAAAAGGATGCTAGGAGCCGTAAAAGAAGACATAATGATAGAGTATTATACTTGCTTTCTAGCTTAGGACTTGATTTTGCACGTATCACAGAAGTAGTATTGGAGGATTGAATGGAGATATGAAGTGCTGTAGTAATTAAAATTTTGTCAGACAAAAGGAAGCAGAGGAGTAAGAGCATTTCATCAAAAAATTTCAATATACCAGAGAGAGATAGAGACAGCCCAACGTGAGAAGGAAGACCTGAAATACAAGCTCGGTATCCATCTGTCTGTGCTACACACAGCCCATCAATATAGATTATCCCTGAAGTTGTCAGTGTTTTAAAAAGATAGAAAATGGGAATTTTAAGAAACTAAGAGCTGAAGATCAAGATGCCAGGTCTGCAGATAGCCCCTTGCAGATACTATTTCATGCTGTAATATGTACTGCAATTGGCTACAGTGGCCTTAAGCAGTGGATTCTTGAGAAACTATATAATGAAAAAGGAAGTTGCTTTCCTCCTAATCTTCTGTTTTGGCTTTGGTTATCCCAACTGCTTCATGATTACATGTCTGTAGGACAAAGACATAATAACTTCACTCCTTATGGAAGTTCCCTTCCCTATGCTTTCATGTGGTACATTGGAAGCCAAACTCGACCAGCAGGTAAGCACCCTGTCCTGCCTGTTCTAACTGAGCTCATGTGGTTCTTTGAGAGACTGCCAGAGTCTGGGTGGCTTTTTCTTCTAGTGAGAGAAGCACTGAAGCCAAGGGTGAAATAGGTTGTAGTCCTCCTATGCAGTCCCTCCCTTAGGATTCACACCTAATTATTGCTGATCAGGCCATGCTTCGTTGCAGCATCTGTGATAGCAAGCTGAGTTTGACTTGGGAAGGAAGTTCTATTTATGCAAAAGCAAAGGAAAGGATGTGTGTTTATTGAAGGAGTTCTTCCTCATCCGAAGCTGAGGTTCAATTTGGTAACCGATTTATTTCAGATAGCAAAAGCAAACTAATGCTATCTGAGTAAAGAGGGCAGCATGCAGCAAACGTCATGTGGGCCTTCTGCTTTCTTGGGGCAGCGCCAGTTTGCATACAGAGAACACATAAGAAAGTCAGCTTCAACTATGCATCTACCTAAACAACCTGGAATGCTCACTGAAGCATCTTCATTGCCTTTCAGTGGTGCTGAGAAGAGCTGTTCAGGTTCGGCAGCCAAACAGCTCATCTTTACTCTCCAGCAGGCGCTGAGCTGTGCTGCCTCTGCTCTGCTGTGGGCTGCAGGTCTGCACCTCCAGGGCACACAGGGGTGCTGATAGAGATGTCAGGGAGAACAGATGAGTAATTTCCCCTCCTCTTTGAGATCGAGGAGGGGAGTATGATATATAGATGTATATATATATATAATCATTACGATGTATATTCATTTTTTTTTAGTTCTCTGAACACTTATTTACTGAAAGGAATTCTGCATGAAATATTCTTCGTATGGCCTCAGTGGAGAATTATGTATGTCTTTAAATCTGCTTGTCTGCATCTGATAAATGTATATTGTCAGTAAAATCTGAGGTGGCGTATAAAATCACATGCAGAATAAGCTTTCGGCTTACACAGCTTTCTTTCTTATATTTCTCTTTTAAGTTTTTAGTTAAAATGGTAACTGACAGTGGTACAGCCAGAGTAGAATAAAGTGTTAAACCCACTGAGCCACAGAATTTAGCAGATGAGACCATTTTGGCTTTCTTTTAATGTCATACAAGAACTCAAGGAAGATTTGCAGGGAGAAAAGAGAATCCCCCCGGAAAGGGGGAAAAAATTGTTTTTTAAGGTTCTTTTTTCTTTTATTGCAGTAAAAATTAGAATGGTTATAATGGAGAGTAAAAAAAAGGTGTGTTTATCTCAGAACAACCCAGAGACCAAGATATTCAAACATCTACTTAGGACAGGGGCAGAATTTAGGGGGAAACCTCCCCAGTGCAATTCCTGCTCTTTATGAAAGTGTTTGGTTTTGGTGGTTTTGGACAAATACATAAAAAGTGCCATTTAGGGGGAGGAAAAAAAAAAAAAAAGAAGGGAAAATGATTTCCTGTGGAATGTCTCTTAGAATTGTTGTATTTAAAGAACTGGAAGAGGCTGTGGGTCTGCTTCCCGGTAGTGCAGGTTGGCAAAGCTTCTTGGAAGTCATGAAGTCCCATGAGCAGAAGATTTGGGTAGCAGCAGCAGATCTGCCTTGTGGCATGCTTGTGGTTTCTTCTCTTAGACCACGTACAATTCTTCCTATGTTCATTTTAAAAAGTCTGCTTGAAGTCAGTAGGTGGCTTTACATATTTGAGGGGTGAATTACATACTCATGTGTGCTGAGGAGCTCATTACTAACTTGTTTTTACCCATTTCTTTTATCTGGAAGAAGCTGTTCTTTTAAGCATTGTAAAAAATCAGACTTCCCCATTGGCATGAACTCTGGCAATCTGATGAGGATGCAAGATAGCATACAATTTTTGTTTGCCCTGATGTCTCTTGGGGTTTCTGCTGCTCTGCTTCAGCCCAGAGTTAAAGAGAGAATGAATATATTTTCAGAGAAAGACTTACAACGGGATTAGGGAAGTGAGTATGATCACAGTATGACCCCAGCCTTTACTCTCAATCTTCTCACAGACTCATTTTAAACTCAGTTAAATTCTGCCTCCCAGATCTTTTTCTAACTCCAATATTTATCTCAGGAGCATTTACACAGTACCATCATTGCTGGCGCTCCCATAGCGGCCAACATGGGTGCTCAGCACCTTGAAAATTCCATGCTTTGACCTCCACTTTTCTCACTGGTAGGTGAAAACGTGACATGTGTGTGCTATAGTTAGAGAAATGCTAAACAGTCACTGTCGAATCAACACATCCCTGTGTTGTGATTGTGTTCCTGATCAGATTCTTGCCACAAATCCTCCAGGACAGTTTCTGCAAGGAGCCCCTTAACAGAACACGTGGATGCTCCTACCAGCATGTCACTGTGCTTGTGGGAAGCCCACCAAGATTAGGGTAAAGCCCTATGCTCTCTGGAGTTTCAGTCATGTACTGTTAGCCACAGGACTGAATCCTGGGAATGAGACATTTGCAGTGTGTTACTGCATTTCAGGAACTGCTTCGGGGAAATAAAACCCAAGTGAAAATAGCCATTAGCTTAGCAGAGTCTGTAAGAGAGTTAAATTTACTGTCCTCTCTCTTCTGACTTATCCATTCAATAGCCATATATTCAGAGTGGGAGGACACAACTGACAAATATATTCTTTTAGTAGAGATACAAGGGAGGAACTTCTTTGTCACTCAAATTCTAGCCCAAACTGTCTGCCTGTTTTTCATGAGTGGTGGAAGGAAAAAAAGCCACAGAGCTGTATGAGGCGAAGTACTACCTAGAAAGTTTAATCTTGTGATGATATTTAGCTTACTGAAATCTATCATGTCTGTGAATTTGCCTGGAAGAATTTTTTCTCTTGCTCTAGTAAATAACTTGTTAATCTTGTTATTATTATAACTTGCATCTGCTACCCTGTTCCTATACCTTGGTACAAGCTAGGAACCTTGTGTTTTTTTCCATCTGTGAAAAATAGGGGTGAATCTCAAAATTCACATCTGGCTTAACTAATCAGGCAGAGCTGAAGCCTCACTGCCAGCAGTGGCCATGTGGAAAGGAAATATTCCAACCCCATACTGCAGCTCATCAGCACAGCATGGTGAGCCCACTTGCACTGCAGCTAGCTCTTCCACTCGGTCCTTTTTCTTTGAAGCTGCCAGGAGCACCTGCCATCTCTACATGTGCAGTGGAGACGACAAAGCATGAGGAAAGAAAATAAATAAATGAACTTTGCTGCCTGTAAAGAGGATGAGTAAATCCACATTTAATGTAGCAGCTTAAAATAAGGAAAAAAAATTTCTAGGAAAGATTTAATCGTAATCCTTTTGAAAACTTTAAGCAGTTAGACAAAGCCAGAATTACCAGCAAGGTTGACAAAGGATTTGATGACAGTGCAGCTCAGCCTACAGACACAAAGCTATCATGCAAGTCTGCTGAGTACAGCAGAGCTGTTCCAGGGCTGGACTTCTGTGGCAGTGAGCAGCGACTAAGAGGCTTGTGTTTCATGAATTACCTAAGATAAGCAATGTAAACACAATCTATTACCCCTTCCTGTTGAAGCTTGCAGTAGTACTTCATTAGAAACACTGGCCATTGCCTAGAGATCATGGCAGATAGAAAATCAGCACAAGCAGTGTTGGTGGCACAGAATGCATTGACGAAAGCTGGGATTTGAATGTTCTGTAGGTCCATTTGAGATGCTCTAAGGCTTGGTGTTTGAATACCCCTGATTTCTGCCATCCCTGACTGGGCAAGACAAGCTAAAAAATCTCACAGGTGTGCAATGTTAGCTGAGAAGTCACTCCGTTTTGAGTTTTGCCAAGTAACAGAGAACTCTGAACTGGATTTTCCCATCCCATCTATGACTGCTCTCTGGAGGGTGTAATCCCTCTACCCTGTGATATCTCTTCCACACTAAATCTGCTAAAGCAGTGTCCAAGAGCTTCAGAAGTGGGTCCAGGGCAATGCCCAGAGGCTGCTGCAGTGTTGGTCAGTTTGCAGGAGAGCCAGTCAGTTTTGTAACAAGGCTCCTGCCCCAAATGCTCTCCAGTGGCCTGCTCCAACTTTTTTTTCCCCACAACTGCAAAGAGGAGGCAACCTCTGCCAGTTTATCAGTGGCCTGTCACTGATGATGATATTTGATATATTGAAAGCCTTTATTCCAGAGGCTAGAAAGGAGTGAGAGAGCCTCCTGTTGACATTATGAGTGAGGGTTTCCACAGCCATGCATGGTGGCGCACAGTCAGCGATGGGAGAAGTGTGTCTGGTTGATGCCTGCCTCTAGGAAATGTCTTTCTTATGGAAAGAACAAGCTAGATTCATCTTTTTTTTGTATTCTTTCCTTCTTTATTGGAGTTACAAGAGTTTCTCTGGTGGACACACACTGGGTTTTAAAGCAGTTAATCTCATAACTATAATCTCTTATTAATAGTCAAAGCTGCTTAGCCTGATTTGGCAGGTCATATTGGCTCTGTATGGGGGTGCATGTGTGTGGCCTCAGGACTTTCCAGATTGGCATAATGAATAATGCACTGCACCCCTGGGGTGGGGTAAAACAAGAGTGTGATGTCACATAAGCAGTCAGTGTACACAAAAGAGGAATATTTTGGCTATACCTGAGTACAGAGGAAATGCTACCTTCTTACTGATGGGATCAGAAAATTTTGATAGTTCAGACTGAGGCAATGCAGAAGGGAAATGGAGGTTGAGTTAATTTCATAACTTGTCCCTTTCATTTAGCATACACAAGAAAGTACATGGTAACAAATAAAGTAGAAGATAACAGAACATAAAACAACCAACTTGAAAGCACGAAGGAATGATTGCCTTTTAAGCTACAAAAAAGGGAAAAGATCAGTGCTCAGCTCCTACTGCCTCTGTGAATCCCAGCAAACCCCCTTTCCCTCAGAGAAGGTACACGTGAGAGCTCTGCAAAATCTTCAAAGTTTGTTTCAAGGGGAAACAGTTACAAAAGAATGAAGTGATGGCTGTTTCTAACACTGCTTTGAGAAGTGCTTTCCACCCTTATATATGTCTGTTACCTTTAGGATCAGTTCCTCTCAAACTTCTTAGCAATTTCAGACTACCTTGGCCAGAAGCGAGTGGTTCCTGAAAGACTTTGGGATACAGCTTCTGTTGAAAGCACACTGATGTTTTAAAGCCTTTTGAAATGATGGCACATTTCCTGCAGGTTGCTGCTTTGCACCATCTGGCTATTGAAACCTTCTCATCATCAGAGAGGTTTTAGAAGACACAATGCAGCCTTGTTTGTCATTCAAACAAGGTCCGATGGAGTCAGTCCTTCAAAAACAAGATTTAAATCTTTGAGTAACCCTCAGATTCGTTCTCTGTTCTGCATTTTGTTCTTCATACCTCATCAGCAGGAGGCAATCTGGTGCTGTAGACATTAGGGGACTGTTAATACTTTACTCTGGTCATGGTGACTCTCAACACTTGCCCATTACAAATTGAAATGACATTCCCAAAGCATAAGAATAAGTCTTTGGTAAATCTTGTGTTATTAAACACAAAGTGGTACAATTCCATAGGGGCAATGATTTGTGTGAGTCTGCTATGTGAGTATTGCCATGCCAAACCTCAGCCCCTTTGCTCTAAGACGGTGACATGCATTTGATCTTGCCATGCTGTGTTATGGTCTGCCATCTCGCTCTCAGGATTAGAGAATGTTGTTTTATCAGACTGCAAAGAGGGGCCCGGGATAACTGGATGGTTGCAAAATGTTTTGCTGTTTTCACTATTCTCAGGGTGGAACCTGCACTTACCCGTATCAAAGAAGACAGAAAGCGGATCATCTTGCCAGCAATTGACAACATCAAGTACAACACTTTTGAAGTGCAGCAATACGCCAATGCAGCCCATGGCTACAACTGGGGCCTCTGGTGCATGTACATCATCCCTCCACAGGACTGGCTCGATAAAGGGGACGAGTCAGCACCCATCAGGTGAGTCTACATGCTGTCACTTTGTGCTACAACATCTCTATCTGCCAAGGGGCAATTGAAGTTAAGCAAGGCTGCAGACTTTGTGCCGGGGCAGTTTAATGAAACTGAGAAACATGGATGGGTCTGCAAAGCTGTGAATGCATGTGTGACATTTCAGAGCTGCACCACAAAGTGCTGGCTCTAGTTGTGAAAATGTGATTCAAGTTCACTTTGTGGCCCTTGCTAGGATAGAAAGATCTTTTTCACCTGTGTTTTATTTTCCAAATGGACCCTGTCATGAGTAGTGAGTCAGATAAACATTGTATGTATGAAAAATGAAGGTATTTTGTATGTGATTGCAAGGAGGCTGTTGTCACTTTGGGTCTGTAGGCAGCATTCTTGGACATCAGCCCAAACCAGAGCTTCCTGGCAGCACTAGTAGGAGATGTGTTAACCTCCTGGTCTCATTGGAGAGTTGCTCTTTTTTTGGAGAACTTTGTGCATGTTATGGATTTTCCCACTGGATGAATTTTAAAATGAAACCAGACCATATAAGCAGAGCATCACTTTATTTTCTTTGTAAGGTAACATTTTTCCTTACAGAAATGAAATTTTCTAAGGAAATAGTGATTCAGGAATTGTCATAGTCAATTTGAGAGTTGTTAAAGTTACAGTGAGAAAATGAGAACTGAGGAGAATGAGTCTTTCTTTCCTCTTCTTTTGAAAATTCACATCCAAACTTTCTTCTCTGGTGCAGATCGTTGTCTCATTGCTCCTCTGAAAGGTGCCCTGCTGAGTGAAGGGTACTTTTTTAGCAACTGCTGAAATAAATGATAAAATAGATTTTACTCTAGGGTTCTCTGCCTTGTTTTTGAACTTTCCTAGGAAGGATACAAACTACCTTCTTAGAGGCATCTTCATCCTGATGTTTATCAGCTCCACCCTAAAGTGAGCTAAAACTCTCTCGTATGGTGTCAGTGCAGGCTTTGGCAGAAAAGATGGTGTACGTCCCTTCAGCATAGAGCCTGAGTTGTCAGATTCTGATATGCCTGTTCCCAGTCCATCCAAGCAACCTCAAACAACACAGCCAACTGGGAAGACCCTTGCTGGTCTTTTAGAAGTGTGAGGACACAAGGTGGGCTGTTCACATTTCTAAATGATTGGTTGGGTGGGACCATCACACCGGGTCTCACCCTCATACAACGAATATTTCAATCTGTATTTGAGCAAGTGTTGCAAGTTGCTGTTAGGTTCATTCTCCTGCCCTGCGACTGCAAAACAGATACACAGCAATACTGACCTTCCTTATCACAGCACAGCACAGTCCTTCAGCTCTGACCCTTCACTCAGCTTGAAACCTCAATAAGCAGGAAAGTAATTACTTAGAAAATCACTGTTCTTGGATAACGTGCCCTGTCCTCCCATCATTGTTTTAAAAGCGCAGGCATTGTCTATCTATTTCACTCAGCTCTGAGAAATAGATATTGAAGAAGGAAAATTAATCAGCCAAAGCTTTCACTCCTGAAATCAGGGTTTCAGTCTTTTATTCCCAAAAGATTTTGCACACTTCATTACTTCCAGTTTATATGTGGAATCACTATATTAATTTTCACATCAGTTGTTCTCATATTTGAGTCTCTTCTATTTTGGAGAAACATCATCAAATATCAGATAAAACCGAGCTAAGAGATTAAAGTTATATAAACCTCAGCAAGTTCCTTGGACAAGTTTTGTAGCAGGGGTAGTTAGTGCACTCACTGAAGTATAGAATTCTGCAAAGTATTTCTGGATTCAGCTATCGATCTTTCCAATAGAAATTAAGCGATTTCATCCCTGTGTTGCTGGGAGAAGAGTTAGTTTTCATTCAGCAATGTTGCCTCCATTACCATGGGCTTTCCTCAGGTGTGTGTTCAAGTACTTGCCAGAGTTGCAGTGGTGCTGAGTTGGACAGGTACAGAACTGAATAAGGTTCACAAACTCGAGACACTGAGTAGTGTTGAAATCTGATGCACGTAAGCAGCTGGCTCTCAAGAGCTGTGATTTTATTCTGAGCAGAAACCCTGCAGTTCAACAGTGCATAAACTGCACTGAGGGAGATGAGGCAAGCAGCAAGAGCAGGAGAGCGCCCGGCTCTTGCAGATGCTTCCCAGCAGCACTGAGATGTTTTGGATACAGAAGCACCTCTCTGCAAATTATGAATTACATGCTCTAAAATGCAGAGACATCAATGTTGAACCGTGAACACTTACATGGCTCCCTGGGAACACGTGCTTTCAAGGCAGTGATCTAGGAGAGCGGGGCTTCTGCCTGATAGTCACGCTGCACTGATTTCTGATGGATGGATTTGCTAAAGCATTTGGCTGTGCTGTTGTGTTATGCTGGCCTATAGACACACAATGCAATTCTGTGGCTTTTAAATGAGATGCCGGTGTAATTATGGTGATGAGAAGAGGGAACGTGTGAATTGATGAAAAGGATCAGGAAGTCTGCACACAGAACTGAAATTTGAAGGCACGCTTGATATGAACTTAGTAACTGTAAAAATGTAAGGTGTGTTTCTAAAAGCAAGGGGAAATCAGAAAAGTGAGCAGGCTTTCAAAATCTCCTCAAGTCTGATACAGTCTGATACAGGCCTAGTTTTCTAACCAGCATCCCACATGGTGAACTGCAACTGTGTCCAGTTTTCAGGACACACAAACTGTTCCACAATGATTGTGTTTAGATCCACATGTCTTTTCAATGCTTTCATAACGTTGTTCAAGAACAAAAAAATTGCACATTCATTCAGCCTCTGTTGACACCCTCCCTCTCAAGGCTTCCTTTTACACTGTCTTTTCAAACAGGGGGTTTGTTTGGAGACTGTGTGCTCTGTAAAAGAAAAGACCAATAATTAGTAACGTTGTGATTGGTTTTGTGTTTGGCATAGCTGAATACTTACTCCTGGATCTCCCAAGGGACCGAAAGTTTTCAGTGGAATCTCTGTGTCCTGGTATCAGCAAGGATCAGAGCCCGGCTGCTGCAGTCCAAACGACAAAGGGGATGTAGCCTTGAAGTGCAAGCAGCAGTAAAGGAGTAGCAAGAATAAAGTGTGAGATTTTGTAAAGATTTCTGCCACAGTTCAAAGTCAGTTCCTTTTCTTCCCCTGTGCTAATAGTCTGAAATTTTGGAGCAATTGATGTTTCCCAATTCGGCTTCTGCAGGCAATTCATTTTACATGTTTGACATTTAAGATGTGAAGAGCCTCTAACGTGAAGATTTAAATGAGGATGGTTATTTTGACACGCTGTGTCCATCACGTCATTTTCCATTTGTGTTCCTGAGAACACTGCCCAAAAATGTCCTTATCATCTGGCAACAAACTGTGTAACAAAGGATACTTTTTCAGAGGGTTTCTAACGAATTTGGCTATGCACTGAAACAGGTTGGATTTTTTTCTGCATACAAAAGATAATGCTGCATTTTGGAACAGCTAGGAAGGTGCCTTCTCTTCAGAGCTCTGTCTGGCTCCTCTTCCCTCATCTGCCGTGATTTTGATGGACTGCTCTGTTTGATTTCATGATCAGCAGCCACCAACACTGGAGTCATTAATCAGCCTCCCTCAACCAAGCACTGCACAGCTTTCTGTTTTATCTTCCTTCTGCAGCAGTGGTGCATTTCACTGTTGCATATGTTCTCACTTACCGCTCTAATATGCCATAGCTTGGTACTGCATGCAGTGAGTGTGTGTGCACACTGAGTCAGCCATTCCAGAGAGCATGTGTGTCTCACACATGGATGCAAACGAGCACCTGACATGCCCACAGGCTGCCTGCTTTGGCTGGAGCCTGCGTGCCCTTCTCACATGCAGTCAGACCTTGTGCTGGTCCACCACACTGATGGTGATGCAGCCACCTTTAGGTGTCCGATGGGCATCCTGCCTGTTCCATAAACTCTACTAAACCCTACTCCTGCAGGGCTCCAGAATGTTATTCTGCATCCTTACTGCCCTGCCATTCCTAGCCAAGCTTTTTGGGTCGCTTTATTTCCCATTGCTGTTTCTCTCCAAAGGAATTAGCATACCTTCCCTTCATTATGCTTGACAGTTTTTTTCCTGCAGCTCCTGAACACCAAATCTATCCTCGAGTTCTGTTCCTATGACCTGGTGTGACTCTTCTATTGCAGAAGGCATGATTTGTAAGAAAAACTAAATGCTTATGCAGGCTCCCTAACCTATCTGCCAGGTCAGGGTTGAGGTGCTGCTTAGGAGCCTGAATTTCTGGCCAGTGCACCCTGACTCTGGTAGCCATCCCACAGCAGCACTGCTCGTGGCCACATAGTGCCCCTGCTCTGGTAGCAGCATGCTGTGTCTTTCAGCAGTGCAAAATCATGCTATTCTATGTTGTATTTTAAGATTTTAGCTGCAAAAGCCATTTTAGTATGTTAACTTTTTACTCCTGCTGTTGATTAAATTTAAAGCTGATCTTCAGTTCTGTGAAAGAATATTCCACCCATCAATCAATTAATTCTCTCAACACCTTTTGAGGTGTTGCTAATCAGTAATACACATCCAATTGCTGTTCCGTTCTGACACTTTCCTTCTAAAAATGTCCTATTTTACTATGAAGTCTTTATCTTAAGGAAGAAGGTCCTTTTATAGGAAGCGTCTTCAATGCAAGTTTATTCTACTTTGCAGCCACGATGTGCAGAGGGCAGGCACCTTCTTGTTTGTCAACCCTTGGGTGGTGAGCAGTGCTTAGGATGTCCTAACACGGTTTTGCTCATATATCTAGTGCTGACTTTCCAGGAGAGTGCCCGATGCACTGTATTGAAAGCAGTAGGTATATTGGGGTTTGTTAGGTGTGAGAGGAACCTGGTGCTTACAGCCAGGCAAAGGTCTCATGGTTTATGAGGGGCAGGTTTGTTAAAGGTGTTTGCAATATGACAGTTATGCTGCAGTCCAGTATAAAATAAAGCTCGAAGTGCGTTTATAAATGAATGTTAGGCTTTTAGGCTGCTAAGGCAGACCTGAAACTTTTACTCAATATTATCTGTGCTTTGCAGATAGAGAAACAGGGGCAGGGGAAGGTGATCCACTGAAGATCAAATGAATGACAGAGATGAGAGCAGAGTTGAGGTCTCCTGAGTCCCAGCACCGTTACCAGCTCACTGGGCTGTGCAATCGCATTACACTTAGTTTACAGTTGGATCAGTCAAAACACAGGAAAGTTAAGGGCCTGGGCTTGATGAGAACTAAATGTCTGAAACTCTGGTTGAACCTGATAGAAGTCTTGGCATGCACTGTTCAGAAAGCTCAGCAGTTCAGCTCCTGGACAGTTTCTTCCATTGCATCAGGATGTGGCTGGGGCAAAGCCTCAGGCTTTTCATTTCCAGCCATCCCTGCACCGATCACTGTCCTGTTCAGCTTCCAGGGTTGCAGCCGAGCAGATGTGCAGATGTGCAGTGGCTATAGGAAGCCAAATTCAAGTGGAGATACATTGGCAGTGGAAATTTTTTAACTGGTGTCTCTGATGAGCAGGATGTCATTTCTTCTGCCATTGCACAGCCATTGTTGCTCATTCCTGAAAACATTTTTTTTCAGAATATGCCATGAGGGCTTGTGGAGTCTGTTTGCATTTGCATATATTGAATGAGAAAAAATAAAACATAGAAGAGAGGGAGGGAGTTGCAAAGGTAGTCCTCACTTGGTCTGTGAGTGATGATTATGTAGTTGCATCCAAAATATATTTCCCACCCCCATTCAATTAACAGGTTGGTATTTTAATGGACAGAGCTGGAAACTGCAAAAATCCATCTCACAGGGAGAGAGATTGCGGCACCTGAGAGCAGCCTGCAAAGCCTACATGTTCTGCTCCTCATTAGGAATTGAGGGAGAACATCTTCAGGGGAGCATCCTACTGCTTTAGGGAGCTGCCTCTGCAGGATTTTTTTAGGGAGCTAGAAAGGAAATGGATCCCAAATCCCAAATCCCAAACTAGTAGCTCCATTTTGCAAAGCAGTGGTGCTCTAGCACTCACCCAGTGACGTCTGTTCTTAGCTTTATGTGCATAGAAGGCAAATGAAGATAGTGGCTAGGGCTGTTTCTCCCCATTCCCTTCCCTTTTTGTCCTAAAGAGATACCTAAACCCTCAAAAGCTTGTTTAGTTTCAGAGCTGTTGAGTTTTCTTTCTTTGGTCACGCAGTTCTTTTATTTCAGTTTCTAGACCTAATTATTCCTTGGATGCCTAAAAGTGATTTTTCAATGATGGAGGATCTCAGCTTTTGTTTAGGCAAGTCTGTCAGACATGACTACTATAAACAAGGATACTATAAAGGAACTATACTAAAGGAACTATATGACTACTATAAACAAGGAACTATAAACAAGAATACACGTTTTAGGAATTAATTTGTATCTGTAAGTTTCATCTCTCACAAAAATCCTGGTATGTAAGCATATACATTAAGAGAAGATGATGTTCCACTCAGCCTCAGTTTCCTTTGACCTTTTGGAACAAATGGGTGCAGGAAGATGGCTTCCCTAAGGCTGAAATTCCTCTGTTAGAGTTGATTCCAAGAGAACCAAACTTCATAGTGATTGATCCGTGGCTCTCGTCGCAGCCTTAATTTTAATATGTGAGTAAAGGGAGTCCTCATTTCTGAGAAAGTTTATGTTATTGTGCATTAATCTTCAAATGAATCATCATCTAGTTCTTGTTCACCACTATCTTGAGCAGCACTTCAGCTTCAGTGCGTTGTGTCTATAAACCAAAGGAGAAATATACCAATGTTTCACTTACTTGAAGAGAGTACTTAACCTCACATCCCACGTGTGTCTCATGGACAATTGGCCCAAGTGTGTCTGGCAGTGTGCTTGTTTTTTGCATGGCTCTGATTCCACAAGTCACTGTCCATTGGAGGATGGAAGTACACGCTAGCAGATAAACTTTATTGACTTCAGGACTAAGTAATGTTTTGCGTGTGTAAATTTATTGTGAAATGGTTTCTGTAGTAGCTAAAAAATGACTTCATTTTTTTCTTTAATCTCTCTGTGCAGGACACCAGCCATGATTGGATGCTCATTTGTAGTAGACCGAGAGTATTTTGGTGAGATTGGCTTGCTTGACCCTGGCATGGAGGTCTATGGAGGAGAAAACATTGAATTAGGCATGAGGGTGAGTAAGAAAGAAGACACTTTGTGCAATGTTTATTTGCAAAGAAAAATGGGAGCCCGTGGCCCAACAGAATTGCTGCCTGACTGATAGGCTATTATGCTGAAGTAATTGTTACTGCAGTGCTATCTAGAACTGACATTCCCAGTAAATGGATGCTCCTGGCCTTACTGGCATTGCAAAGACTGATAACAGTCAGAAATATGGTCCATTGGTTCGTTTTGTCAGTGTCTGAACTCAGTGAGACAGATTCGCCGCCTTTCCCAGTAGCTGGGTTTGTGATAAGAGCTGTGCTAAGTCTGTGTGTGCTCATTGTGCAGATGATGATATACGTATGTTGTCTTAGCAGATGCAGTGGTAACAGAAAACTGAGGCCAGGCTGAAAGAAATCAGCTGTAGTGTGCTATGTACTGCTCATAATGAAGGCAGTGGCATTTTAAAAAGTTAATGGTCTTCTTTGTAGAGTAAGTATTACAGGGTATAGGTATCCAATCCTGCTGGCCTCAAAGGCTGTGAGAATAATGTTGGAGAAGTCACAGAGTACACATCTTGAGGAAGGCAACATTGGCAAACATCAGCAATCTCAGAAGAATGTACAGAAATCAGTATACTTCTGTGTGCATCCATCTTCCCAACTGCCTCCACCCCTTTCAGCCCGGTGCACGAGGACTGCTATGGAATCAGAACTGAGCACCTGGCTGTCTGCACTAGTTAGGATCTGGCTGAGCTTTGGGTGGGAGGGATTTGGGAAGATGTTCTTACATAAAATGACACTTCACAGATGCTGAAAAGGTACTGCAGGATGGAGGGATGAATTTTGCCTGGTTCTTACTACAGTGCAGAGCATGGACAGATGGCTTCTGCACAGCATCAGGCTTCTGAGCCTATAAGAGGTTTGATAGTTGTGATCCTTTGCCCTTGTTTTCAAGGTGCTCCTTTCCAGCAAGTCCTTCTAACGTCCAAGGAACCTGCCATTGCTTAGCACTTGAAAATTAGTCTACTTAATGTTGCATGAACACAGTTTCCTCATTATAAAGCTTGCTGTTTAATTATTTTCCCCTTACTCTTTATTCCCTATTTCACAGTAACACGTCCCTAGCGTGTGTAATGTGCTCATTAAAGCATATATTCTGCTCACACTGAAACACTGAGCATCAAATTAGTCCATCCTTTATCCAGCTCTTTTTTTCTGAAATGATTACAGACTCCTTCACACCAGTGGGCTGGGGGAGAAGGTCATCATCGCCAGCACTTGTTTCCACACATGGGTGTGTGTTTGTTATTCCAGCATCACACGAGGGATAGAGTTTTTAATGGCACCGTGCAGCTACACTGCTTACACTTTAAGGTTCAGAATTCACACAGGGGACAGAAAAACCGCTACCACAAATCATCCAATTTTCCTTAAGAGGGTCAGGCTATTACCAGGATTGTGTGAGCTTTCCTTTATCATTGTGCAGGGCTTTCAGCTGTTTGAAACTTTTTCCACATGGCTGCTTCCAGAATAGATTGAACGCTCTGGCGAAACTCTGGTGTGGCTGATGAATAAGTCTCCTAAGAAATCTGAAAGCTGTCGCTCTTCCTTAGATGAGAAGAACTTGCTGGGTACGATTAGGGCTCCTGGTAAACAGAGGCAAAGGTTTTAATAGGATTATGAAATGGCACTTGCTTGAAAAGCCAAGGATTTGAGTCTGCGAGGACGGATTTTCAGGGGAAGGGAACATGTTCAAGTTGTAAACACAGAGGATCTAGAAACAAGTTCTCAGTCTTTGTACTTTGGCACTTTTTGGTTGTGTTTTTGTCTGCCTGTGTGTTTTTGGTTGGCTTGTTTCTTTCTTTCTGTATAAGGAATAATGAACCCTACTCATATGTGTTTGAGAAGAGCTCCGTGAAGTTTAGTCTAAAATGAGCTTGTCCGTAACATGGACATTTATCTGCATTCTCAGCCTGAATCTAGCACAGTGAGTAATGTGAGGTGTGCACCTGGTAACCCACAAGTCCTGCACTGATCCCCTCCTTTGTTCTCTCTGAGGTGTCAGAAACCAGCAGCATGAAAATGCACAGAGACCTCCTCTCTTCCCTGAAGGATATTTATGAAATCACTGTGAATTTAGAAAGATTTTTTTTAACTGCAGAATCTCAAAGTACGTTGCAAAACTCCTTCCTTTCCCAAGGCTGATCCACACAGGAGCTGCCACAGAACGTGGCCAGCTGCAAACCAGGGCCTTGTTCCTTGTGAGTGTGACTGGGATCCTGCTGTGTCTCCCTGTGTGCAGGGGAAACTCTGCCAACATGGTGCAGTACTGGAGGCTGCAAGCTGAGCAGGGAGCAGAGGCAGGCAGTCATCAGCCTGTCCACAGTGCACGAGGGATGTTGCTGCCCAGTGTGACTCTGACTGTGTGGAGCAATGAAAGACAGAAAAGGAAAGTGTAAATGGATGAGTAAAGAGCAAGAAATAATGGTGGTGGAACGTGTTCAGCTGAAAACAGGCCCTCTTTTAAAAAGCTGGAACACTAATCCTTTAAACTTCTTTGCATATTATCACCATGTTATTACTAAAGGAAAAGGGATTAGGCTCAAAGTGTCTGAATTAGATTACACTGCATCTAATGAACCTTCCTTTAAATAGTTTTCATAATGTGAACTAGGGAAAGGCAGTGCAACTAATGAGCTGATTTGGGAGGGTACTGTTTGATAACCCAGCTAATCCCCCTCAAATCTATTGTTTATTAAAAAAAATGATGATCTTGGGTATTCCACTACTGGCTTTTCCCTTTTCTAAATTCCAGAGATGGGAATAGTTAGATAATTAACCTAGGCAGTTTTCTGTGTTGACTAAGCAGTGTGTAAATGGTCTGGGGCTACCACATGTATTGGAAATTGGACCCAGTGCTTTGCAATTCTTTATTTAACTCATATTCATCTTTCTGCTTAAATCAGAGCTGTGACGTTCTCCTGACAGCTTTGCAATGAGGCCAATGTCTGCCAGGCTATGGAGGTTCTGCTTTGGTTGAGAAAAAGCAGCAGCCATTCTGGGAAACAGGAGGGAGTTGGTGTTGGTGCTGGAGTAGGAGCTGGACTTGATGATCCTTGTGGGTTCCTTCCAACTTGAGAAATTCTGATTCTATGGGGAATTCTTCTCAGTGCTATCTCAAAGATTTTAAAAATAGTTATAAAACCAAAAATGACTTGTCCAGTTGAGATTGATTTGTCCAGTTGAGATATCTTTAAGAAATCCTGTGTTTAAGAAGTCCTGGCCAGAGAAATCCATTGGAGGTATCCATAGGTACCAGTGTGACAACGTAGTTCTGTAGCTGATAGTCCAGCAGGGCTCAGCTGGATCCTTAAGGTTAGTTGTGACCACAGCTTGTGCAGAGGTGTCACACGTGGCTTGTGCCAGGTTGGGCAACTGGTAGCAGCGTGCCTTTGGGAACACACAGTACCTTGGGATTGAGAAGAATGCCTGAAAAGAGAATAAAAGTTCAGATTATTTGCTCTCTCTGCTGTTGTGATTTCATGGTGAGCAGTGCTCAAGCAGCCTAGCTGAAGGCAGACCTGTTGTGTACAAAGAAATGCAGTCCCAACTCAGACCATGCAGAAATACTGTTTGTACTGCTCAACATCCTGATGCAGCTGTACTGGAATTTCTCTACCAGGAAATAAAACCTGTTACCTAATGCACTTTCTTGCACAAGCAAATCATACTTTCCAAATTTATGTGATCTGACCCAGCTTTGCTTTCCTTAAAAACAGATGAACTGTATTTTCTCTGAGCAGAAGTGCTAATGGCAGGTTGTTGAGTAGTGAATTCCTGACCTGATTTTATTACTTTCAGCTAAGGAGATTTAGATTCCTTTGAGCAGTCAGTGTTTTAAACACAGATTCTGGGCTGGTATGCTGTAATAAAAATGTCACAAGATTTATGGATGGCAAATTTTAATTCTGAATTCTGGATGCTTTTTACCCCGGTGATTCATGAGGTCAGACTCCCTTTGCCCTGGAGCTAAGAAGCAGGAATGCCATTTTAGAGAGTTTTTCAGAATTTCATGCTATTTTTCCCACATGCTGTGATGGAGTAGAAATGAAAATTGCACAAAAATACATGTTAATCAAAATGTTTATCTCAGTTAATAAAAAAGGCTTTATTTTTATTTTGACCTTTTCTGAGCTGCAATTTTTAGTATAAAGAAATTCCGGTTCAAATTTAATTACTTAAATGTCATCTAACATTTAAGTATTTTATTAACAATTCCTAGCTTCTGAAAATGCAGTTCACAGTGTCCTTACACATGCCTATTCACAGTGGATTGCAATAAATCAGCATTTTCAGCATGAAGTTAAATGCTATTAAAATGATTGTGCCCAGTTATGCACAGAACTCTGCATTGCCTGAGCAAAATCCTATTAAGTGATGTAATCTACTGCTAGTTGAAGTTACCCCTTTGCACAGGTTGCAGAGATCTCTGTGATAAATCTCCCAGTCTCACCTCCCAGATAAGCCGTGTAAGTAAAGGTGCCCTCTTTTCCATCTCCAGTTTAATTTAGCATTTTTATAGGCATTTCCAAAGGTAAAAGAATGTTAAGGTTGTAAAGTCAAGTACTAAGAAATCATGAAAGGATTGAATTCACGGTGTCTGGATTACATTAATTTGCAACTCCTTTTCCTCTTTAAAGGAGGGATTGGAAAAATCTATTCTATGGTGATGTGCATATATGAGGAGCCAACTCCTCTGCCCATCTAAATGTTCAGTATCTTTCAATTCCTGAGAAGTTACATTGATTCAAACAGGATGAGATTAGGCTTGACATTTGTATAATGCAATACTGCATTCTGTCTGGAAAAGGAGACAGACTTGGTTGTAAGTGGAGGTGGAGATGCTCTTGCAGACATTTTATCCCAGGATGCTGAAGACACAAGTCACCCCCAAGCCATTAGAGATGGCCTTTGGCCCATAGCAAACATTTTGTGTCTTCCTTACCAGAAATTTCTATATTCATAACTG